AGCCGCTACTTTATAGTAGAAGCGACAACGCCGCTTCGTCTGAAATATTTTAGGCGTGTAGGTCATATTGATTTATGCATACTGTGAAATTTTCAGGTTGATCCGATAAATAGTTTGTCAGAAACGGCTAATTAACGCTCATCATGAAAAGCCCTATATAGTTTGGGTCCAAGGTATTGGTGACTCTTGAGAGAGGTTCGGTGAGGATTCGCTATAAGCAACCCTCTAGCTCTAGTTGCGTATGGGTAGTCTTGTTGGTTTGCGCTAAATTTTTCTCTATTCTTATAAAAGTAGAGACACATCTCATATACACATACTAGCAACTGTGACTATAGCAGAAGAGCTCATACCCCAATTCAAGATTCCATAGCGCAAGTGACAGCCAATAGTTGCATAATACAGATTTAGGAGAACCTCTCTTCCACAATGATTCGATATAAATCTCAGTGCATAACAATTTTTTTGTAGTTTATCACATAGTGAATCTATGACCTTATGATCTAGAATTAGACCTAGTATTTTTGTTTCTGGGTTGGATGGCACCTCTAGTTGGCTATCTTCATATGTTTTGAGAGTTTCGGTGGTGTTCTGCATTGAGAAGGTTACTAATGCTGTTTTGCTGATATTTAGTGCTAAATGATTTTTATCAGCCATTTTATTATTTTGTCATATATGGATTCTGTTGTTTCTGCAAGTGCTAATGTATTACGATCAGTGACCAGAACATTTGTATCGTCTGCATATGCAACTATATGTACCTTCCAAAGACTGTTAAGGTATTGTATCAAGTCGTTCACATAAATAAAAAAAAGCAGTGGTCCGAGTATAGACCCCTGTGGAACTTCTTGCTTGCAGGTCAGGACTGATTGTGAACACCTTGATTAAGAGACAAAATTAAATTGGCCAGTCTGTATTTCTTAGCGAATATCAACGATTTTTATCATTTTTATAGATGAAGTTCACTGCTGTTCTACTTGGGGCCATGACTTTCGGCCAGAATATAACCAACTTGGATTTTTTAAATCAATGTTTACTGGAGTCCCACTACTTGGATTAACTGCTACAGCAACAATGAATATACTTGTTGATATACAAAATATGTTGAGTTTAAAAGATGCTGTTATAATAACAGCTCCCTTCAATAGGCCAAATCTATATTATAAGGTTAGCATCTCGAGTGTATAGAATAACAGCTTTGACATACATCTTGATTTTTTTCAGGTAGTTGACAAGCCACCTGATAAAACTAAATGTTTAGATGCACTTGAGAAATTGCTCAAGCATAAATACAATAATCAATCTGGTATAATATATACCTCCACTATCAAAGATTGTGAAGAATTGAGCGAGGGTCTGAGAAAAAGAGATCTTAAGGTTAAATTCTACCATGCTCAGTGTGAACCAGAACATAAGAAGATTATTCATGAGAGATGGATGCAAAATAAATATCAGGCAGTTATAGCAACTATTGCATTTGGAATGGGCATAGGTAAGTAGATTAGATTTATTCTTTGGAAGACATTTTTTTGTGTAGAAATGTGTTTCTCGCTGTTTTTCAGGGTTTTCAATCTTCCAAAATCTGATGAAAAAACAAAGCTAAATCATTCGAGAATCTGCTGAAGTGTAATAAAGGTCAATCTGAAAAGTTCATTTAAATAAGTTACTTCTTCGATTGAGGACTTGTTTATTTTGTGGAAATTTATGTTCACTGAGGATACACTACAAAAACACACTTTTGTCTATTTTCCACTATATTTCTTTATTGTTGACCGGTTTCGGCTATTACACCATTTTCAAAACTGACTGATTACATTTAAATCTGAGTAATTTATACCTATATTGCTTATTCTATCATAAATGATTTGATATACCTGATACCCGGTACCTTCGTTTCATATACCTGTAAAATCCATGAACATAACAAAGCTTTCAATATATTGAAAATTATTTACTAAGCTTTCTTTAGATGATTCATGTTTCGGAAAGTAATCCCTTTCCGTTCTAAAGATCAAACAAATTCACTGTTGAAAAACGCCTCGATCAGAAACAAGAATATTTCCTTTGATAAAGATCAAAGAATAAAATATCCAGATGATAGTCTACATGAATGCACATTCAGGATGTTTTGAAGAGAATTCAGTTAAGGTTAATATTTCCGTTTTCAATCTCTCGCTTTAACAATGGTACCAAGGTAAGATCCATTTACATAGCGCTATTTGAAATACACTTGTCATCTGCTGAAAAAATATATGCAAATTCTATGGAGTCTAATAATTTTTTTGTGATGTTCCATGGTTAAAATTTTTGTTTTGTTTCATTTTATTATGCTCTGCTAATCTCGATCCTGTTACCTGTCTTCTGTTTGTATATACACAAAGTTCGCTTTTCTTTTGTTTGTATTTCAAGTTTCACCTTTGAAACATTTTTCCACAGAAATAAGGTATATTATAAATACATTGTTTTGTTTTTACAACCGTATTCTCGAGATTTGTCACAATAAAATTGGAAAAATAGTAACTCTTATATACAGTTTACACAATCATCAGATTGTGACAAATATCTGACAAATAACGCCATTTCTTATGTTTCCGCTTTTTTAGAAAAATTCAAAACAAATTGGTTACAGGTACAATGTCAAAATAACTTTTTAACAACTGATAGATTCAGATCTCTTCTAACACGAAAATCAAAAAATATTGTTGAAATAAACAAAAGAGTGTATTTTTAATATACTTTGTTTCTGTGGATAAAGTTATATAGTTGAAACTTCAAGACCCCTAATTGTAAGAAAAAAAGATAATCTTGAATTTATAAAAAAGGATATAACAGGATCGGGGATAGAGGAGTATACTTGAAATCAACTGGTAATCACACAATGAAATGTAACGAAACAAAAATTGGCACCAAAGTACCTCTTAAAAATGAGAAAACTAAAGATTCCGCACACATTCTTTTTACAGCTTACAGTTGTATTTTGAGCAACTCTGTGGAAACTTTATAAGAAAATTAATGTTTTGAAATAAAATTTCGAAATATAAATCTCTTCCAACTACCAACACAGTAGGCTCTGGTAAACATCTGTCGGAAAACAACTACTTCCCAGAATAATACCACGCTGGATTTCGAATCATATCCAAAAGACATTTATGCCAGATACCTCACAGAGGTTAGTCTCGCAGATATTTCTCGCGGTTTCGTGGTATTACCTATCGTCAGTACAGGAAAGATTCTACCCATATAGCAAAGTGCCTGGGACTCCATCAGTTTCAACACATATGTGAAACCGTCGTCTAAGAGAAAGATTGTTAACTAGTAACAACTCCATCTCGTAAACAAAGCCCCAAGCATGGTCCTGCTGCTGGATGAATGAGAAACATCTGTGAGACTAACCTCTGTGAGGTATCTTGTATAAATGTCTGTCAGATATAATTCAATATCCAGCGTGGTATCAGCCGGGTAAGTAATTGTTTTCTGACAGACTTTCACCAGAGCCTACTGTGTAGGTAGTTTGAAAAGATTTAAATTTCGAAATTTTTTGGGTTTTGAGAAAGGAAAGTTAAACCATCTAAAGAAAGCTAAGTAGATGAGTTTCATATTTTTTATTGGTTATTTGTAAGCAAAATTTCCAAATAAGACAAGACTTATTGGACTCTTCAGTGGTTTATATTACATAGTTCATTTTCGGAAGGAAATTTCCAGTTTGCCCTTCATTTCACTCTAGCTGATTCTCTACTGATTTAGCTTTGTTTGTTCTTCAGATTGTGGAACGTTATAAAACTCAGGAAGACAGCAAGATGGATTTAATTAATTTTTCTCTTTGCAAGTTATTTTTTCCAGATAAACCTGATGTTCGCTTTGTTATCCATCATGCAATTCCTAAAAGTATGGAAGGTTTATATCAAGAAAGTGGAAGAGCGGGTAGAGATGGACAAAAGTCTGATTGTATTCTAATGTTCAATTTATCAGATTTCTTACGAAATGTTAGCATGGCATCTTCAGTGGTTGAAGAGAAAAACGCCAAGTCCATTTTGAGCTATTGCTTGGACCAGACAAGGTGATGAAACTTTTTTAATATATATGTGAGGTGCGACTGTTTTATTTTGGAACCCTGTTAGCCATCTATATATCACAATTTGTTAAATTTTATAATATATAATTTGTATGCAAATGACTCACAGTTTCTTGCCAGACATGATGGATAATGTGTTATCAAATCAATAGAGAACATAAGGCATTTTTTTAAAAAGGCTTTCAATTACTATCTGAGGATAAATTGTAGCAAATCCAATGTTATCAATTTCAGATAGGAGGGTTCTAGAAATGCCACTTGCTAATCTAAAAATAATAGTTAATGATAATACACTTGAGGTGTTTCCAGAAGCTAAAAGCTTGGGTATAGTTTTGAAAATGGACTACAAAAGTTATATCAACCAACTTATTAAATGTGCACATTATTCATGAAAATTATATATCATAATCATAAAAACAAATTGCACCTAAAATGCATTTGAAACTAATAAAGACATTAATATTTGGTGTTTGATTTTAGCTTTATTGTTTATAGGTGTAGAAGAGCGCTGATAGCTGAACATTTTGAAGACACTTGGAATCAAGCAGATTGTGTAAAAATGTGTGACCATTGTAGATATCCAAAAAAAATTATAAATTATGATATTTCAAGAGCTCTACAAGATATTCTGACTTTAATCGAAGCTGCCAGTATGAAAGAAATCAAACTCACTCTGAATAAACTGATATCAGGATGGTTCCAAGTTGGTTCCAAAGAGCTTCGAATATCCTCTTTGAAGAAGCCAAGTTGCACAAAAGAACAAGCTGAGTATGTCGTTGGATTTCTGATTCATAAAGGATATTTAAATATAGATAAGGGGTATACAATGTACACCACTGTGGCATATATACAAAAAGGGTCATACTCTGAACAAAGATGTATTGTAATGGATACTGTTCAAAACATGGGATATCCAAAAGTTGTAGCTGATGTAATAAATATTGACTCTGCAGAGGAAATGGCCCCCCCAAAGAAGAAATTTAAATGTGTTCAATAAAACCTTTAGAATATTTTTCAATAACTGTGATATAAGTATTTATTATATTACATTTTGTATTTTTGGCAGTCTAATTTCTCTAGGTTTCATAGGACTCTGGAAAGAGAAGTTTGTGTGGAAATGTAGCAGTATTTGCATCTGCATTTTTTAAATTATTGTTGCGAATCATGTCCGAAAAAAAACGCCGGCCGCCACTGATAGCCATAAACCAATGTTCAATTTTTGCTGCCGTTCCAAATGTGGCGTTGCTTCGAGAATAATTTTACCGGCTTCGATGGCATTCCAAGTAATTTTCCAGCACCTTCGATTGCCAAATATCAGCGCCATCCACTCGCCCATCAAGAGCGATCTAATAAGGCGATAGACATTTGAATAATAGTTTTTTTGAGGACAAAATACAAGCACTACAAGAAAATCCTTAAGGCGCTCACAGAGCAGTGCCAGTGCAAAAGTAGCGATTCACATCGCTGGAGATTGAATCCATTTGGAAAAACGTTCTCAGGAATTTTATTCCACATAAACGCAGTTCTCAAGATGAGAGAGTTTTTAATCAGTGAAGTCCGAGGTGTACTGAGTTGAACCTCGAAACGATGAGCAGCCACAATCCGTCGCGTGTTTCTCATATGTACCGCTCTTGGTGGAATCAAGTGTCCGAAGTCACTTGAATACTTTCCGTGAAAGTATCTATGGAGGAGAGACAAATCTCCAACCCTTCTTTGCTGTTTCAGGCTATCAAGGTTGCATGTGATGTTCGGGTCTCCAATAATCCAAAGAAGGTCTGATCTGAGCTTTATAAAGCATCAAAAGTTGCTGAGGTGTGTACAGTTTTCTGGTTCGCAACAGTGTTCCAAGCTTTTCAGAAACAGCCTTTGCAATTCCAGCGACATATTGGTGTCCCTTCTAACCCCCAACAAACTTATCGAAGCAGAAAGCGGAATTGTCTGACCTAACATTATTATATCCGGTTCAGAGACATTTATTCTCTTGGAGAAAATCGAATCGAAGATAAAGATAGATAGATAGATAATATGTCAGGCATCTATTAATATTCACATAAACAATAGATGCTTACAAAGTGTTTTGTTGTATTGAAAGTGAAATAAGGTTGAGTTTGATGATTGTTCAGTGTATTAAATTATTGGTAAACCCACGGAGGAAAACGTTACATTTGGTGTCGGAAGTGAAATAATTGACTGAAAATTTCTTGTTTATGGTAAAAACAAGGAGTCTCGATTACAACGAGATGGAAGAGCTTAATAAAATGTTCGAGGCTTTGCAAGCGGGCTTGACGGAAAATGAAAATCGCAGAAGGGAGGAAGTACTACTAGGTATTCAGGAAAAACAGGAAAATGACAGAGACTTGCTGGTAAATATTCAGGAAAAACAGGAAAAAGACAATAAGATGCACCTTCATTTATTGGAAGATTTAAAAGTTTCCCAAGTGATTGAAGGGGAGGTACAGGAATTTATTCAGGAAGAATTTGAGGAAACAAAGGAGGGATTGGTAAAAGCAGTCGATGAGAAGCTTGAGCTGGTCGAAAAGAAATTTGAAGAGGAGCTTGAAAAAAGCTTGAAGGATTCAACAAAAAGTTTGAAGAAGTTTTCCGGGAACTTCGGAAAGAATCACTGGACCCGAAAAGAATTACTGTGGAAAAATGCAAATCGGAAACAACATCTCTCCCTTCTAGCAGTAGTGTTATTAAAAGTCCAACTTTCGATGGTGAATCTTCATTGTAAATTTATCGCAGACAATTTGAGGACAAGGATATACAGCTACCAAAAGAAGAACTTTCCACCAGAGACATCTTTATGGATAGCTCTGATAGGAAGATAAGCTCCGCTACCTCCCGCCGCTTCGGGTTCCCTCTGACCCAGAGGGTAGCAACCTGTAAGGGTCCCTCTGATCCAGAGGTTAGCAACCCGTAAGGGTCCCTTGTCCAGGGATATGGACAAACAATTTGAGAAATCACCTGACCATGGTGTGATACGGGCGTTAAGAGCCTCTGAGGGTGACAATAACTTCATGACGAGGCAAGACATCGTGGTAGCACAGAAGGGGTATCCGGTCTTGAAAACTGTACAAGAATGGATTGACAAAGGAGTGAAATGGCAAGAGATCTCGAAGTACGGCCAGCAGGAAAAGGGCTACTGGCTCCAATGGGACTCCGTGAGCATTCGAGATGTTCCACTCACTCAAAAATGAGAAAGTCCGGATGGAAAAACCCACAAATTCCAGATGATCCTTCCTAAGACGTGTATCCTGAATATACTTGAACAGCTCCACGATGGTCACACTGGATGGTATTTTAAAGTAAATAGAACTCTAGCGAGAGTGTGTGAGAGGTACTATTGGGTCAATTGCCGTCAAGACGTGGAAGAGTAGTGTAAGTGCTGTGACCTGTGCTCTTCGAGGAAGGGTCCGAAGACATTGCAAAGAGGAAAGTGGAAGCAGTCCTTCAGTAGGTGCCCTTTCGAGAGTTTTGCAGTTGGCATTCTGGCCACATCCGGTTACAAGTATCTTATGGTTGTAATGGAGTATTTTTCCAAATGGCCTGAAGTAGTAGCCTTACCCAAGCAACCAAGAGGCTAAAACGGTGGCAGAAGCCCTATTGTAGAATGTAATCGGCAGACACGGAGTACCCCAGAAACTACACTCGGATCAAGGCCGCAACTTCGAAACGGATTTATGGAAGGAAATGATGACTTTGTTGGGAATGAAGAATGCAAGAACAACTGCTTTTTACCCACAGTCCGATGAAATGGTCTAGAGGCAAAATAGCACCATAAATAACTACCTCTCGATGTTTGTCTCCGAAAACCAAAGAGACTGGGATAAATTGGTTCCTCTTTTTCTGTTGGCATACAGGAGCTCCCAACATAATGCGACATGTTACACACCATCCATGTTGTCAACTGGCCGAGAACTGAAACAACCGATAAATGTATTGTGTGACAGTTCATCTGATGATTCTCCATAGGTACGTAACTATTTCAGGGTATGTGAGTGACCTGAGGAAGAGACTGGAATTTGCCAGATTACACAAATTTTCCAGATCCAAGTTACAGCTTTCTAGCGACAGGATGAAAATAAGATTTGACAAAGAGTCGTTGCCAGTGAGCTTGGAGGGCGATGCAGTGTGGCTCTACCTACCCCAATGTGGGACTTTACTTGGTAACCAAAAAGATAAACAATCTGATGTACAGAATCCAATTGTCATCCAAAAGCAAGCCTATAGTTGTTGACATAGAGAGGCTGAGTCCTTACATGGATTGTGATGTCCCCTCTTGGAATGTTGTTCAGGCTGAACAGCCTCAGGAAAGGGGGTAGTGTTGTGAATCATGCCCTAAAGAAAATAACGCTGGCCGCCACTGGTAGTCATAAACCAATTGTGACGTAACTAAGAGCGCGCGAATGTTCGATGTTCGCTGCCGTTCCAGACGTGGCGCTGCTTTGAGAATAATGCTACTGGTTTCCATGTAATTCCGAGAAATTTTCCAGCGCCTTCGATTGCCAAATATAAGCGCCATCCACTCGCCCATTGAGCCAGTCAAGTAGAAGTTACAGTGCGGTACTCGAAGCGATCTAATAATGCGATAGACATTTGAATAATAGCTTAAGTTAAAAGTGTTATTCACTTCAAAAAATAACTAAAACGTTTAACTTTAAAAAACAAAATAAACAGTCAAACCACAGAAATTTTGTATAAGGAATGTATGTATATCTTACCTTATATCAGTTGATGTAAAGTTATGTATGATTTTGAAGTAAAATCATAAAATCCTAATAACAATAGAATACAAAAAATATATAATATTAATGGTCATAGTTATTATTAGAATATAGATCCTTTCATTCAATGAAATATTTTTTCAATAAGAACTAACTGGGTAAGTTATTAATAATATACGTTTATATAAGAAGCAAACAATAAGCTTTAGTCAAATTTTGGAAATATAACGTCACTGTCAGAGAAAATAACATATCTAGAAAATTTAGTACCTTTTGGAAATCATATTGAAAAAATATTAATTAATTTTCTAAAATTACCATCTTACTCAATTTTTGAGTACCTACATAACAAGAAATGATTTATTTGCATTTGCCTTGAAAATGGTAGGTTTATTTGATAGGGATGACCTTTAAAAAACTGAAATTGGCTTCAAAACAGGGGATTTGAGGTTGTGGATGACAGGAGGCAAAGAATTTGTGAACAACTAAAAAAGAAAGAATATGACAAACATAAGTATAAGTAGTATTATTCAGTAGCTGCATGAGGACGTAATTTAATTTAAAATTATTTCCGTTTGTTCTCCATATATTATTCTGTAAAAATTTCAATAACGTATGTTATTGACCATTTTTGAACAGTCCAAAACATTCGGAGAATTTGAAAGAATTTCGCAACATTCCAGAACATTCGGGAATAGTCTGAAACGTTCGAGAACATCTCCAGAACATCATATGAGCTGGAAGTTTCGCCCTCTAGAATCTTCGAGAACAGTCCAGAACATTCGGGGGCATCACACAACACTGCTGGATCAGTCATTGTGAACCATTCCAGAAAAGTCTTGAATGCTTTGGAATATTCTGGAACATTGTAGATTACATATAAATCAAGATCCGTCAATCTCTTATAAAAAGTATTTTTTTATTCCAACTGCTACACAATCTCATATCAACAAAACTATAACCTTGTCACATAGCTTTGTTCGGCCACTTGAATTAAATGTCTCTTGTGTTGAATCCCAAGATATTAATAACTATAACAAAATGTACACATCAACATTTTTTTCGAATCTCTGTGTCTTGGTGAAAACCGTATGAAAACCTGTTTAGTTTTTGAGTTTATCGCGTTCAGACACGGCGGGGGATTTCAATCATTATTACTTTATACACGATTGTACAAAGGCGTCACAATCATGTACATTATATAAAAGTTTGTCAATATGAATTTTCTCAGGTTTTGAATATAATGTAATAATTATTCATTCCACTTCTCTTAGATTTCAAATCGGTAATCATTTTTTAGGCAGGGGATGTCCTCTCTGTCAGTATAATATT